TAAAAGTATAAGCAGTAATCGGAAAGATTAGGGCTTGAAGATGTTATTCAAGGAGTATAATAAATTGAAATAAATTTGAAAAGAGAAAGAGAAAAGGGACATAAAGAATACAGAAGATTAGAATTTTAGAGAACACAAAGATTCAGTATCTCAGTAAATAAAGAGTTTGTAAACATGGTATTAGTTCATGAAATCACTAACAATTAGATTTAGCCTTATAAATAGGCACAGACTACCTGGTTAGAGTTCTTGTGATTATCGTAACCAATGGTTAGAGACGTAGAATGATATCCCTTCAAATCATTTGTAATAATAGAGGTGAATATACTCCTTGTCTTGTTATAAGAATATCACTGTTAAGTGATACACTATGGTTCAAGACAAATGTTTAACTCTAAGCATTAAAAACGTGTAATGGTAAATTCCTTTACGAATAAGTTCGTATATAAATGTATACACTCGTTTGGACTATTAAGCAAATAAAGATTTATTATTTATTATTTCAATTCGATTGGTTTTCTTGTAGATAATTCATCTTTGTATTGGTTGTTTGAAACTTCCCATTGAAGTTTAGGACTACGACTGATTAGTCTCTTATCGGCGCATGTACATAGTGTGAGGATTGCTTCGATATTGCCTTAAGTCACAAGCGTTATAAGCAGAGATGGATGATTGATAGCAATGAAATCCAGGATGTGCGTTTCGTACTGCTTAAGACTTGTCAGCTGGGTGTACTTGTGTAGTAACACTTACGATCAATGTTGATAACGGTTAAACCCTGTCAAGCCCTTTCTTCTGACAATGTTATCGACATAGCGACAGTTCGTTTATTTCTTTGTATTAATAAAATCACTATCATTGGATTATTTTATTGTGGTATACCAGTGTAACTCTATCCAGATTAAACTGGTACAAGGCAGTTCCAAGTTATTTCATACCAATAAAATCGCCAATTGCCCTAAATCTTATTTCATTACAATACTATTTCCAGATTCAGTTCAGTTCTTATTCATTTTTAATCACAATTTGATTTAGTTTACTAGTGCTTTATCTACAAGTCTATTTTTAAACTAAAGTTTTCATTGAATCCGTTTTGTTCTGCCCCATTGAGATGAGTATTACGAATATTGAAGGCGTAATCATCCCAATATGAAAGTTTAATACTTACTTCATTTGGCCAAATATCACTACGAAATCGTACCGAACTAACGTGTTTCGGTAAATCAAAATATTCACCATGACTTTGAAATGATCTAGTTGTCTCTTCTGACAAGCGCGTTATCTTCACTACTGATTTATTTAAATTGTTATCTTCAACAGTTTGTTGTTGTGGATCATTATTTGAGGTGAAATCATCATCTGAACAGACTGAGGAAACTTTATCACTTGAACCGTCTTCCCTATCATCAACTGCAACAACATCTGATGTTGATATTTTATCAGATTTTCTAGAGTATGATTCCATTTCACAAGTGGCTCGAACCTATTGAACAGTTATAAGAAGATTTAAAGGGAGAATAAGCATTACACAATAAAATTCAAATAGACAGCGAAACACATACAACAAGAAGGACATGAAATCATAATCTAAGCGATTTCTACCGAATTCACTTTTCTCTCTCTCTCTCGGACATCTGAATATTGAATGCAGAAAGCAACAGTAAGCTGTCAAAAAATATTTCAGGCTTACTATGTAGAAAAAAAAATACAGATAGAATTCGACCAATACTGACAAATATAACACCTAATTACCGTTTGTACATTGGTTCTTGAAGACGATGAGATGGTTAGCTTAAACAATTTTCTAATAATCAATATATTGTTAAATTCATGAAACAAATAACAATTGTGAATTGTAAAATTATAAGTAACAGTAAAACAAATTGAGGAAAGCACACAACTGCTTCACAAGACAAGCCCTCAAATGGAATCCTCAAGGTCAATTTATTTATTTATTTGAACACATAAATATTGGTACAAGAGAGAGCCAATATATATGCGCCACACAAAACAATGAGGATTCGAAGAGAGAAAAAAACAATAACGAAAAGGTTGGTGTAGCAATAATAATAGTAATAATGAGGGAACGCAAAGGTACAATCAGAAGAAATCTTTCAGTTAAGGGAGACACAACCACTTTTTATGAAGAAAGTAAAAGGTTAGAGCAGGATCGCCACTGCCTTCTATTCTGAGCCATATCGGATAACGTCTCTAGCCACTGTGTAGCACCATCTCTCGGACCTCAACCAGGGAGTCGTGAAGGACCGACACAAGCCAGTCCCTTTGCAGCTTTCTTTCATACCACGACACCATATCATGCACTGACCACCTCTCCGCTTCTTCCAACCAGTCCCAGAGTCGGCAAATAATGCACGACGTGGAATTCTCTGGGACGACATTCGTAGAACATGTCCAAGCCATCGAAGTCGGTGTTTCAAGATGGTGACATCGATTGCATTATCATCTCTGTGCCCGAACGCACGATGCCGAACCTCTGCATTACTGATTGAATCAAATATCTTCGCCCACAACATTATACCACGAATTTGGCTTAGATATGTAGATGATACATTTGTTATTATAAAAAAGACTAATCTAAGATCTTTTTCAAAACGAATAAATACACTTTCATCGAACATCAAATTCACGAATGAAAATGAAAATGTACATGGTGAGCTACCATTCTTGGATTGCTTAGTAAAAAGAAATCCAAATGGAAGTCTAAACCTTACCATTTACCGAAAACCGATACATTCAAATCGTTAAATTGACTTCCATTCAGCACATCCTTTCAGTGCAAAGATCTCGCTAGCCTTAAATCTTTTTAGAACAGCTAACAAGATCATCACATCAGAGGAAGACAAACAAAAAGAACAAATGAATATAGTTAGCATCTTACAATTTAATAATTTTCCTATGAAGATTATTAGAAGCATATTAAAACAAAACAGTTTATTACATTCTAATAATGATTCGAATGAAATGCCATGAATTGGTACTGTAGTTCTACCATGCCGTCATGGCACAACAGAAGAAATCCAAAGAATCTTAAAACATCACAAAATCAAAGTGTATTACAAACAACGGACACACTACGTAATACTTTAGTTCGCCTGAAAGACAAAATCCCTTTCATATCCACACAGAACTGCGTCTACAAATTAGGTTGCATCGATTGTGATGCCTATTATATTGGAGAGTCATCCCGCGAAATCTTGACTAGAGCCAAAGAACATATTAGGTACACAAAGAAACCTCCTAACAGTCCCGTAGAATTGGACCAACTTCAAATTAAATCGGCAATAGCAGTTCATACCATTTTCAACAACCACCAAATTGATTTTAAAAATATCAAAATATTGCAAAAAGGCTTTTCCAATTACAAAGAAAGGAGAGTAGCTGTAGCATTCCGTATAATACTTAATCCTACTTCTCTCAATAGAAAGGAAGGCCTCACCATACATCCTACTTGAACCATCTATCCTAGCCATTCAGTTTGATCATATTTACAATTCACACTACCATATCACAAATTAAACTCTATCCTTTCTCACCATAAAGGTCACACAATTTTTCATTCTTAAACAATGCACACATATATACACACACAAATTTACATACATATCACTTATGAATCACCTTGACAGAAATGACATGACATCAACTTGTTCAGACTTGTTTTTGATTAATCCAATATTATTCTTGCATTGCTCCGTTGTACTATTTAAACTTGGATTAATTTTAATTTGGTTATTTATTTATTCTCTGAAGAAATGACTTACACGAAGTCACGAAACGTCCGAAAATCTAATTTTTCTACTCATTGGGATATTACAAATGTATTATTTTTATTTATAACAATGAACCCAATGCTCAATTTATTCGAAATTATCAAATCAAACCTTGGTAATGACACCTTAATAAGTTAACATTCTGTAGACTCTAACATGGAATTTTATTATATTGTTTTGTGTTAAGACTTTGTACAGAAGTAGATCATTTTATAAGATTTTAGGAAAATCATATTCTTTTGATTAGTTGTCTTGTCTTCAGTTATAGAGGTTTAAGTTAATAACTATAAAAATCACATGAATAGAACTTGTGGTGACTTTATGTCCGTCTTTTTATCACGTGATTTATCCAACAATCAAAATACGACTTATACAATCTTAGCACTGTGCCAAAACCAATGACGTTCGACCGGTATGAGCAACCTAGCATCCTTACTGGTCCTATGTCCGCCTAGCCCGTACAGTCAATACCAACTTCCAATATGCGAAACAAATCGAATCATCTATTTCAGACCCTGTGTTTATATATCAATCGAATAGATCGCAACTCACCATAAAGTAGGAAATAACATTTGTACACAATCAAGTCAAAAAGTGACTGTGAACGTGGGAAGCAGTAGTTAATAAACTGAACATAATTTAAGAACAGTAAATCATACAATAATAAATTATAAGTCAAAATAAAGCTTATAATAAGAGGAATATAAATATACATAATCTAATTATTGAATAGTTATACCATAAGAATATAAAGATAATATTAGTCAATTAATATGTCTCAGAAGTTAGTTGTGATTTAATCTTTGCTCGGATATAACAGAATTATCACATACTGTCACATTACATCATTCTGTTTATCAACAAAAAGAGATATTCTACTCATTAATTTTGATCATTGAAAATTGTTAAGAACTCCTTGTACATAACAGTTTTAACATATAAATATGTATTCCAGTAAGTGAAGATATGACTTATCTATCGTTAAAAGGAATGTAAAGCAAAGTAATTTGTTTAGCTAGTAATTGAAGACATTATGGGCTTATTCACAAATAATGTGTATCTAACTATGGAATTAATGGCTCAAAATAAGATTTTTTTTTAAAACTTGAAAGCTTGAAAAATTATTATGAAAGTTTCCACATTTAAGATGATAAGAAATTAGATTTACTTTTTTAGTTAAAATGATTTTTTTTTCAAACTTTTTATTTTCAGATGGGTCTTGTGGATATTATAGTAATTTCAATGGTTAAGACCATGAGTCAGTTGAAACTAGACCACCATGGAAAGCCTGGAAGCACTGGACGGCCGTTTCGTTCTATTGTGGGACTCCTCAGCAATAAAGTTATTTGAACACACGAGAATAAACAGTATATATCTTTCAATATCAAACATAACATTGACTAATGTATTTAAACCAGTTATTTATCAAATAATCTATAATGATTAAGATCTATAATGTGTGTTGATAGAGTATACATTAAAGAATTATGTAGAAACTTTAAGTATCCATAACTAACATCAAAGTCAGAATCTTTAATATGAACGTTAAGATAGTAAGTTTTATTGTACGGAGATGAGACTTGAAGAACTACTACAAGAATCATTAAAACAGTACAAGTATTTAAAAACAATTGAATACATAGTATACTCAATTTCCGTTGGCCGTCAGTCAGTCAGTGACAACGTAGGACCAGGCACATATATGCATCGGTCCAAGTTGCCATACCTAATTAGCACAATAAGATGAACACCAACTTCATGGGAGTAGTTAATTCAATGGTGGTAATATATAAAAGAAAGATTGCATATAAGGATATAATACAGGAAGAAAGAATTAGTTGGTAGAAAGATATAAAGCAATTTTAATCTCACGGTTTAAGGGAAGACCGTATACAATCAGCAACAGCCTACTGTGGAAGAGAATAAATCAACTTCCCTCTAGAGAGGAAATTAGGAAATGACGTTGGAAGTGGATAAGACACATATTGATGAAATCATCAAGCTGCATCACAAGGCAAGCGCTAACTTGGAATGGTGAAGGGAAACGAAAAACTGAAAGACCGAGGAACACATTTTGTCGGGAATTGGAAGCAAACATGAAAAGAACGAATAACAACTGGAAACGATTGCCCAGGACAGAGTTGGATGGAGAATGATGGTGAGCGGCCTATGCTACTCCAAGAGAGGTAACAGGCGTAAGTAAGTAAATCTAGATATCCAGATTACTTATTTAAATCTCATGACAGATATGATATTTATAGATTAGTAAGAAGTTAAAATTTAACAATTCATACATTTTCTACTTCAGTCAATCAGTAATAAAAATTAGATGCTTAAAGCTATAAGTATTGTAGATGATGAACTACTACAACTCAGATAGATACTCATTAGAAATGATTATCCACCTAGATTCATCGATAGAAGCTTAACATCAAGATTATATCCTGAAAGATAACTGACAATTAAAAAGAAAATCGTTTTTTATAAAAATTGGATTATAAGTGTTTTAGTTGAATTGCAACATTTATTTTAATGTTTAATATCATAATTAATTCTGAATGAGTATTTTTATTCAGTATATATACACTGGTTAAGTGTAAATTTTCACGAATTCGTAGTGCATACAGTTTTCAATGCACAATATATACACGGTGACAAGCATTTATTTATGGGCATTTTTCGTTCATTTAATGTATAATTTCCACTGAGGATTTTTCTTGAAGCTCTAAATTTCGCTTTATTTGTTTTTTTTATGCATCTGTCAAGTTACGATGCGTTACAGTTGAGTGTTCATAGAAGACATATGTAGATAACTTCAGGTGATTGAAATGAAATCCCTAGTGAAAATTGCACTCCTATATGCAGTACTGAATGGACGGTAAGAATGTTAGTGTTAGGTATGCTGAGCAATATACCAATCATTATCATGTTAGGTCTAATGATGTCCTTGAACGTTAAATGAACATTCTCTATTGGTCGGTATTTGTTCACTTGTTAAATATTGTGTAAATGTTGTTTTCTATTTTTATGGTACGATGTGGTCTGCTTGATTAATATATAAACAGAGTATGTTTGAAAAATAATGATTTCATAACTCAGAGGCTGAGACTTGTGTTCTGGACTCAACTGGCTGGGGTAGACAGGGAAGCAGGGCCAATCAGGACACTAGGTCGTTCATTACGTGTTTACGTGTTACTGGATCGATTGATAAATACGCTGCGCATCTAGCCTGCAGTCTCACCCGTTACAACAGTTAGATATTGCATTTTTATTGAACACTGGAAAAAAATTAGTTAACCTCGTACAATTTTACTAATATGTACTTTAATATTCATTATAAACAAAAATGATTAATATATGGGTTCATGTTGGTGTCGATTATTCACTGAATTTCTTAATCAACAATGGTATACAAATATACGTACACACACACATGCTCATGCACTTTTCACTTTGTGAACATTGATATGGTAAACTAATATGAAGTAGCCAAGTTCACTCAAAGATAATCAGAAGTAACCTGAAAAATAAATACATATCATTGTCTAAGAGATGGAAAGATGTATACATATAAATGAGTATTTGTGTACTTTATTCAGTAGCTCAATATATTTTCTCGTCCATTCTTGCATTTTTTGCTAAAGTAGTCAGTTACAGAGGGGGTAGTGAATAGCACCGTGTGTATCAATATCAGATTACGGATACCATCCGTCATAACAAACATTTTTACACATCTTACGACACATATTTTCTACTATGCAAAAAAGAATTAACCAACATCTGAACATGATTAGAAGAGTTTGGCGCAGATTTGTCATTCAAATTTATATATTCTTTGATCGTTTTCATTTTGAAGAGACCATAAACAAAATGCTGGAATTAGTGAAATCTTAATTCCTGAGATAATCTCAAATATAAATTAGTGTTTAGTGTTTTTTTGATATACCCGGTGCTTAATTTCTGTTAAATTATTCATTTATATTTGGATGAATGTTCATATAAATGAGAATACAAATACTGAAAAAATACCAGTATGAAAATCGTGGACATGGCTAAATATGATTGCCACCGACAACTATTGAAAACCTGACTACTTGAGTGAGAACACAAGACTGAAGTAGAAAGTCTATTGGGCTACCGAGTAATATGCACAAATGCTCATTTATATACATACATTTCTACCCCTAGGGGAATCAATCCATTTTTGTAGCCGATGATATGCATTTTCATTTAGGTCATTTTTTATTGTCATCGAGTGACCTCATTTGTCCATTTCTAACTACCTCACTATACCAATTAAAACTGAATATTTATGCGAAACTCTGTCATAACAGTGATTGGAATTACTTTTATTTTAATACTAAAAACATTAAGTAGATGGCAAGACAATAATTTATGGACAAACTACTCACATTTGAGACTGCGACTCCTTGATTTTCGTGTGGAATTCATTCATTTATATGGTTAAACATCTGGGCATTATAAAAAAATGTAAGTTCATGAAAAAACCCTTACCCTAATTCCTAATCTTAACCCATAACTCTAACTTCCAATCTCAATTCTTCACACTAATTTACAAAATTGTTTAGACCGTAGTACGTGGTTGAAGTTCCGCAATGACACTAGTGCCGTTCAAAGGTTTTCTATAAATTATAATCTCCTCTATTAATTATAAACGAATTAAACAGACGGAAAATTTACAACATTAGTAAGGTAGTAAATCAGAAAAAAAGACTAACCACAAATAAAATCAAATTACTTCATGTTAGTGTATTATATACACATATAATCTGTTGCTGATTAACGTCTAAGTATCGAAAAAAAGAATTCACACAACAGATACAATTTACAGATAATTACGCTATAATCATTTTATTTCATGTTAAAGATAAATAAAGTCTTTTAACAAAAACTTACTGAACCAGTTGAATCTTGAAGTGCAATTAAACTACTGTAAGGATTCCAAACAGATACTGGAGTGATTAGATGCAAAATTGCACTGACATCAGGACGAACACGTTTAGCAGAAGAGACTTGTGAAGGTTCACATGCGAAGCAAAGAAAAACCTACAATGAATTATTTGAAGAAAGATGGCAATTTCAAATCAATTAAGAGTACACTTTGTATGACTAACTGTATTACTCGGAATGTTATGTTTAAAATTCATTTATCCAATTTTCATTTATTCTTATTATAGTTTAAAACTCGTTTGTAATCTTTGTATACTTAAGCGTAAGTGATTATCATATTGTTTATTTTTTAAAGTAAACAGTTACTTAGCAATCACACTTGTCATCTATAAACTATAAACTGAAGTTAGACACATACATCATTGAGTCTCGGCTCAGTGGTCTGGAGGTTAAGCGTTCGTGCGTGGGACTAACGTTCTTGGGTTCGATTCCTGGTGAAGTTAGTGGACACACACTGCTGAGGAATCTCATACTGAGAAGAGACGGTTGTCCAGTGCTCCTAGATTTCTATTGATGATCTGGCGAAAATCAATCTGTGAATTAAACTAAGAAAATACCTTTCTCCGGTAATAATTAGCTAATAATCAACTGTAAACAAAAAAAGTGAAAAGTGATGAAAAACTAATCAAAACGATTTCAGAAATAATTGAAATACCAGTAAAAATGAGAAAACACAACCGACAGCAATTATACATTAACTTACTTGCAATTCTGTGTGTGGTTGCAAGGTTTGAGATTTATGAAATGTATACAGTTTTACGTAATCCGATGAACCTTCATGAGTTGGTCCAGCGTACAGATGCCAATTACATAAATCAATAGCCTGATAAATTGGAAATAAGCATGAGAAAAGTGCAACAAATGTATATAAGTGTAATGATAATAAAATTATTATATTCTAATGTATTACAGCATCAAATGACTGAATACAGAACATAAGAATCTATTTCTGTATATTAAAATACACTCACATCTTCACTAGCATTGTAAATACGTAGTAAACCCTCTCCAGGATCTGCGCTAGAGAAATGTATTGGACCATCAGCACGACATGTTATACGTAAAGAATCTCCAATTAAACTTGATGATGAAGGAAATGTAGATAAGTCAGAATTATGTAAATTGAAGTCGATATTGATTATTTTTGAATGTGAATCTGAAATTTCTGATATTTTACGTTCAGTTGTCAAAGGATAAGATTGCACAATATTGTTAGTATCTGCATGATCTAAATCGACATCATGAAGACAACTTCCAGTTGATTGTTGTTTTGATTTTAATAAAGATGTACACATGTCACTATATGTACGTTTGGTAGGAGTTATATTTGTTCGAACAATTGGTTTACCTTTTAGGATCTTTTCTGTAGGGGATAGATGAAGGCTAAGAAAATAGAACAAAAATTTACACCTTGATTTTTATTTACTGAAATTAAAAATTAAAAACATGGAATATTTGAAGTAGTGATGATCTTTGTGTATATGACACTACCAACATTACAGATATTATAAACTGAAATAAGAAGCTTAAGATTGTTAACTTCCAACAACTTATTTATTTATTTGAATACATAAATATTGGTACAAAGTGGAGCCGAATACATATGCGCCACACAAGTCACTTGATATGGGTGAAGGTTGTGATACTACCCGGGTGCCCAGACCGAAGCAGGTGGTTTTCTTAGAGGGCCACACTGGAGCCTTCGACCTGAAGGTCTAATCCACAAGGCAGTGGAGCAACGTCAGGAGATCAAAGATTGATAGTTTCTAACTGTACAAAATATATTTAGATTTATAGATCATTTGGCCCCCAAATGCCCTGGTACAGCCGAGAGTGGGTAGAGTCAGTTCTCCCTCTAAAAATGCTTTCACATGGCCACGTGCATACAACCACTGCCAGGGAATCCCTACTCACTGTCTTCTCGTAGTGGGCGTGTTGTTTACGAAATTGAGAAGACGATAAGCTAATATCCGGCGCTTTAACCAGGTTGGTTATAAAAAATCCACCTGGGGGAGTTGAAAAACACTGATTCTAAACCAATGATGCACATGGGCTCCAGAATCCTGAAGGAACAAATGCTGTATGAATCCATTGCTGGTCTCCGGCAACCATGGGAATGAATTTCCTGACATTGCTCCACTGCCTTGTGGATTAAGCCCTCAGGTCAAAGGCTCTGGGTGGGGCGCCCTAAGAATACCACCTGCTCCGGTTTGGGCACCCGGACAGTATCCCAGCCCTCATACAAATCGAATGATTTATGTGGCGCATATATATTTGGTGCCTCCTTGTACCAATGTTTATGTGTTTAAATAAATAAATAGATTATTTAACAAAAATATCAACTGCAGTGACATCCTGGACAAGTTCAATAGCTGCGATCAATCAAGTTCACAGTGGAATGGATTCGGAATTAATATTCTCACGTGCAAATAAACCTGGTGGTTTTCTACAAAGATCGATACATGAACAACCAACCTGGAATGGACAGTACAAGAATTTTCAAAGTTGAGACAGAAGAGAAACCTGATCCATTCACTATGGACAAGGGCTACACGTATGTGTACAGATGATACAATTGATATTAAAATTGATATACTACCACAACGAATCTCTACATAAATTCATTTTAAAAAATCTGAAGCCAAAATAACAACATGAAAGAGTGTCTTTAGTACAAAAAATCTTTATGAACATTCAGTTTAAAGGAGATATTGAGGCAGAAATCCCGAGAAGCAAACTTTCAAGATCTCTGATAACATTCTGTTCCGTTGAAACTTGTATTCTCTTCTCTAATTGGGCTTTAATTCGTAGTTTTGTGCAGAATGAGTTTTCGCTTTGGGCCAATGTACATCTATCAATTAACTTGTTCATGTGGAGCAGGTTGTATTGACCACATAAAACGAGCTCTTATGAAGAACATCTCAGAACATAACTCTCTCTGGATATTTAAAACACAACAGAGTTCAGGCAGTCTAAAGCTTGGAACATCAAGTCATTTCTGGTCACTCTGCTTCCCTATAATCCTCCTTCAGAATTATTTGTACAATAAGAAAAATCAACTCAAAACGAATACAAACGAAAAAAATATATACATCAGAGTCTAGATATCCACCAATTCAAACCTTACTATTATGCACAAAAGCAGTATGTTCGATCCATCATACCACCTTATTTTCCATCTTTCATTATCTACTGGGCTTTTTAACTCCTTTCCAATTCAGTCGGTCAGTAACAACGTAGAACTTCGTACGTACGTACATCAGTTCGAGTTGCCATACCACATTAGCAGAGATGCAGTGGTCGATTCAAATCCCGTAGTGGTAGAGGTAGCAAAAGTATAAGCAGTAATCGGGAAGATTAGGGTTTGGAGATGTTATTTAACGAGTATAATCCAGTGAAATAAATTTGAAAAGAGGAAAAAAAGGGGCATGAAGAATTCAGATAATTAGAATTTGGGAGAACATAGAGAGTGGATGCACCTGCGCCATAGCAAACGATTTTGAGCCATGTCATTCAGGGTCTCTAACCATCGGTTGCTATCATCTCGCGGTCCCCAACCAGGTAGTCTACACCTACCAACATGACTCAGTCCACTTGTCAGTGACTTCATGGATTTGTGCCATGTTTTGGTCTGGCCGCCACTAGCTTTCTTCCAACCTACTCCTATACCACTGAATATAGCACGTCGAGGTAGTCGGTGGTTGGGCATACGTAACACGTGTCCCAGCCATCTCAACTGATGAAGTTTCACTACTTCATCAATTGATTTGCCATCCTTACCTAGTACCCGTTTCCTAACAGCTGCGTTACTTACTCGGTGGTCCCAGGATATACGAGCAATACTTCGAAGACACCTATGATCAAATACTAGTAACCTACGAATATCCTCTACTCTTACCGGCCATGTTTCACAGCCATAAAGTAGGACGGAACGAACTGCTGCGCAGTAAACACGTCCTTTGGTTGGTAGACGGATATATCGCCTACGCCATAAATGACGCAAGTTGGCAAAAGCTAGTCGAGCCTTCTGTATCCGTGCTGAGATTTCGTCACACACCAGACCACAAGGGCTGATGAGACTTCCAAGATAAGTGAAGCGGTCGACACACTCAACTACTTCACTCCCTATCACTAGTTCGGGTGTCGATGTAACCCAATCCTGAAGCAACATTTTGCATTTCGAGGGGGAGAATCACATCCCGAACATGCTTGCATTGTTGCTTAGAGTGGTCAGAAGACTCTGCATTTTGTCAGCGTCTTCACCAAATAAAACTATGTCATCTGCATATTCTAAGTCAACAAGTGAACCTCCTGGTAGAAGTTCAACCCCCGGAAATTTAGATGAGGAGAGTGTTATCTCTAAAAGTACGTCGACCACAAAGTTGAACAAGAATGGGGAGAGTGGATAGCCCTGACGAACACCACTTGAGGTAATCAATTCTGATGACAGTTCGCCATAAGCTCTCACTCTACCAGATGTGTTCGAGTAGAGAGCCTTTATAAGGTTAATGTACTTCTTTGGTACTCCTTTCAGTGACAAACACTGCCATAGAACCTCACGGTCAATAGAGTCGAATGCCGCCTTAAGATCGAGAAATACTACCATTGTGGGGCGTCTGAATGTGTGTCTGTGTTCTAGAACCTGACGTAGTGTGAATATCTGAGCTATACAACCACGTCCAGGTCGAAAACCGGCCTGGTTTTCTCTAGTTTGCTCTTCACGAGCTTTGATTAGGCGTCGAAGTATTATTGAAGCTAATATTTTAGACACTATATTAGTCAAACTGATTCCTCTGTGATTGTCACAAGAGAACTTTTGTCCTTTCTTATAAACTGGCACAATCAGTGATTGAGACCAGTCAGATGGGATTACGTCCAGTTCCCAAATTCTACCTAAGACCTCGGTTAATCTCATTGCTAATACTGGACCACCATCCTTAAAAATCTCAGGAGTAAACCTGTCAGGGCCTGCTGCTCTCCCTCGTTTCAGATTTCCTATGGCTTTTTCAACTTCATAAAGAGACGGAGGACCTACATTAACTTGCCATTCAGGTTGACTGGAGATCGTGGGAAACCGAAGTGTGGCTGAAGGCCAGTTGAACTGATTCCTAAAGTGTTCTGCCCATCGATCCAATCTCCTGGATTGAGAATGAATAATATGTCCATCTTTCTCTGAGATTGTTTCGCTAACAGTCGGGTTCCTAATTCCGGTTTCCTTAACGAGTCTAAACAATTGTCTGCTATTACCTATTGCCGTTGCCTTTTCCATCTCTCTTGCTTTCGCTACCCACCACTGTTCGCGATCATTGCGTAGACTTCTTGTCAGTTTGCGCTTAAGCTGACTCCGCTCTTCACTATGTTCAGAGCCAGGTGGAATGAGTTTCCGAGCATCTATCAGTGCGATAGATGCTGCTGAGATCCAGTGTTGCTCCCTAACCTTGCGGTTTACCTTACTAACAGATATCACTGCTGTTTCCACAGCTTTTCGGATATCATTCCATGCTGCCTCGGGGTGGGCATCACATACATGGCTGCCTAACTGTTTTCTTAGTTGTTCCTGAAATATACTCTTAGCTTGACTATCATTAAGTAAGCCCCTAAGAGGTTTCCTTGCAGCGTTTTCCTACGTCCAGTAAGACGCAAGCAAATACGCGCTCGTACTAGAGCATGATCTGAATCTAGGCATGTGCTCCAGAATGAGCGACAGTCTTCTATCGAGCCCCTCCATCGGTGGCTGATAGCGATGTGATCTATTTGGGTCCAACGTTGGGACGAATTAGGGGGTCGCCATGTTAAAAGATGTTTTTCCTTATGCTTAAAGTTAGTATTTGCAAGGAACAGGCGGTTATCTGAGCATAGCTGCAACAGACGGTCGCCATTATCTGTTCTTTGAGCCACGATACTATAAGATCCACCAAGGTGTTTTTCCCTATCGCTTAGTTTACCTACTTGAGCATTAAAGTCACCGGCCACTATTACTACATCCGAGCGCTTAGCTTTTCGGAGAAGGTCCGAAAGCTTTCTGTAAAACTCATCTTTTACATCATCTGAGCTGCAGTCAGTGGGAGAATAGGCAGAGACGACGAAGAGGCAACGACGAGTGTCCCTATCTTTCCGGATTCTTACTGTTCCGTTCAGTCGGACAGCGCACAAACGACTGTCTACTGGGATCCACTCTAAGAGAGCTAGTTCTGCCCTAGGACTCAATGTTATACCTACGCCGGCGAGGCCACGGGAAGCAGAATCAGGGCTTCCAGATACACGAAGCGTAAATCGAGTCGGTTCTTTATTTTGGCATGGTGAGGTCAAATGAATGATGCTACTTGGATCCTGTATGCGCGTTTCGGAGACGCAACACACATCGATGGCGCGAGATTCTAAAGTCCTAGCTAAGGAAGCCTGCTGTCCTATTTGGCACAGTGTTCGTACGTTAAAAGCTCCTACGTGTAGTTTAGAGCGTGGTTTCAGGAGACCAGGAATAGCGTTCCACGTACTCGAATCGTTTGCCCTAGCGGTGCGAGGTGATAAAGAGACGTGAGGAGGGTTAGTCATGGAGATAAGAGAGGTATTAGAAGGTGTAGGAAGGATTTGAATGTGACCAACTTGGTCTCGCGTGCTGTTACGGGTATGAGGGCTGATGTCACTTCCCGGCTGCCCACACCGTGGAAGGGTATTTCTTGAGGAACCTGAAAAGGAAATTGGATTAGTGTTGGTCTTAACGACCTGGGAGCGTGACCGCAGAGCCCAAGGGACAACTGCTTGAGGCCGGTCGCGCATGGCCTTTTTGTAGAAGGTTTTTGACGTGTTAGCTCCGTTCTTCAGATGGCCTTACCGCCGGAGACGGAAATCCGTGAGGTAAGGTGAGGTGTGACATTTTTAGGGTCGACCTTTTCTAACCCCACCCCTCCTTGTGGGAAGGCAGCATCGCTGTCATGCTGATTGTCCGAAGGAAACACCTTACTGCTGTCACACTTCTGTACAGTCAGCAGTACGACTTCGCCCTCAGACTTTGAGTTGCTGCTTTTAGTCTTACCGTTCACTAATCGACCTGCCTGGCATGGTAGAACCTACAGGAACATATGTTCCAGCCAATATAGCTCGGATGGGTCATCACGATAGGCAAGCCCGACCACCACGTCAAGGTAGCAGCTTCCAATTATTCTGCACAAATATTATTTAGCCATTAATGATTCTGTTTCCAATATTTATCAAGTGGACAATTATCTTCATATTGACATTTTTTATTAAACACTATATTATTACAATTGATTGATCACTGGGTGGCGACCAGTGCTATATGTGTCAAGTCTTTATTAGTGCAGAATGAATGCTATCGACCATGTTCCAATGTGGCCACCAGTCTAGGTGATTCGACACTGCGTGGACTATGTTGAGATTATATGGTGGTTGGAGGTAGTCAACAGGAAACCCTGGACCCGGGTTTCGTGCTACTTGGTACTCGTCAGCAAGGTGTACCTGTACTCTTGAGGGAACTGGTGCTCCCTGACGGATTCGATCCCGTGTCATCCAGCTTCACAGTCAGAGACGTTACCACTGAGCTATCCGGCCTGCGACCGTAACTTCCTTTCAATATCTGACTTTGTAAGTGATTTATATGATATAGCATGATTTATATGACATTTTTTCCCTATTACGCAACATCATTCTATTTTATTATAGACTACTATTTTTGGTAAACGGAATGAGCAAAAATACAATTGTACAGCTAAAATGAAATCGTCGAGAAAATAATTTACGTGAGATTGTCTTTGTTTTGATCTGTAACAGTGTGATACCATTGATATCTTTAAAAAATCAACTTTCAATCAATCACTCGTGATCATCATCCACTGATTTTTAACATTACAATTAACCTACACTTACAATTAACCTAGCACTTTCCTAAATATAATTCTACTATAAACAAAAATATACATTTCAGTAGGTAAAAAAAATGTTCCTATAGTCAGGTGATATAAACTCTAATATAAGCCTGTAAGTTGTCGATGAGTGTGATTGATAAAGTAAATACATTTTAAGTTTACGGTTAATATTTATAAGTTGTTATACGAATAACAGTGATATACTTTATTCATAATTGATAGATTATATATTAGTTTCAAATATATTTAAAACAATCTCATTACTTTTATTCTTAATTCTATAAAAGACAATAATCACAGTTGATTACGAATTATTATTTCAAATAGATATGTTATAATTTGGAATGATACTTGTGTTGAATGGTAGAAACCAATGGAGTATTCAGTAATGTGTTCAGATTTATGAACATTTAATTCATAAATTCGTCTCTCTCAAAGTAGGTCGAGACTTTGATTTACTCCTTTGAATATTTTGTAAACTAGACTCATAAGGATGGATTAAGGAAAAGCATTACATAAAATAGTGAAGATTTAGATTGGATAGTGATAATGTAACTTGCTTATCAAGTATGCCCTTTTAGACACTAACACTACTCAGCTCCTCAAATCAGAATGGAGTAGGATTCAAATCTGGAACGTAATGTTTACTAGTCGAGCGTATTAATTATTAATCCACTACTTTAATCAAGTTATCTACAAGATATATTACAGTAATAAATCCATTAATGATATAACAGAATTAACCTGTACTGAAATACAACTTTAGTGATCACCCTACAGTAGACAATATTGATATTCTCTAAACTAAGAATAGATTTAGGTCAATAATTTTAACTAAAAAAAAAACCATATAATGAAGATTATTTAAAATAAACTTTAGAAAGAAAAAAAGATCAAAACTTACCGAGATTCTTCACCTTCTAATAATTTTCTATACATAGCAAGTTCAGCATCTAATTGAATTTTTATTCCAGCTAATTCAGTACATTCAGTTGATTTATCCGTTAATAGTTCTAATAAACGTTCTATTTCTGAACGATGTTGACTAATTATTCCATGTAATTTATCTTCATTAAATTTTAATTGTTGTTCAAAATCTTTAAGTTGTTTACGAGTAGTTTCTAATTCATGACGACAATTATATAAGTCACTTGATTGTGATGATACTAACTGAGATAAACGTTGACATTCGGTTATTTTATTTTTAAGATCTTGTTCAAGTGAATTTGATCGTAATTTTTCTGCATCTAAAGTTGCCTTATAGTAACCAAATGAAGAAATGATATATTGTGAAAGAATATTTAAAAAAGGTTACTTTTTTTTATTGTTTAAAAGAAATGTTTAGCTTAGAATTAATGAATTGTTTTTACCAGAGTTAACTACTTTTGAATAACTAACTGCTTACAAAGAATGAAAATTAGAATATTATACATGTATGACCTAGAGACCTAATAATTAATGTATCAGAAGATAGATTTCCCCTTTTAAAAACCATATAATTACGTAACACTAATAATATATCAGCTTGTACTTACTAAGAGCAGAATATATTAATTATTAGCTAGTAGAATATTTGGCAATAAAAATAAAAATTCAATAAACAAGATTAGATTTTTTGACTTTTATATGAGCTACACAGTATCTAAATACCCTGATTAAAGTACGTGTAATGTATTCGAACGGATAACACACAATAGTCAGAAGTGGATCAAACGAATGAATATGCCATAGAGTTTTACCAAGAGCTCGGGAAAAAGAAATATGCACAAAACTACTCAAACATATTATTAATATGATGGAGAATATTTATAGCTCAAGTAGGACGCTTTAGGTGGTGTTGTTAAGTTCTCTGAGTTAAATGGTCTAACTGAAAAGTTTTTTTGTCATTCTGAACATCGTCAGAGTCTACTTCATGGAAATCTTTGAGTACTGAAGAAGCCGTTCAAAATGATAGTGAAAGCTTAATGATCAAACCATCTAGCTTAGAGAAGTTAACAGCAACATCAAAAGATTATTACCGCTTACTTTTAAACCCTCTTTTATTTTATTTTTTGCTTGATCGTATTGTATTGTCATTTGTGAACGTATTTCAGATAATAAATGACATAGTTTATCATGAGAATTTGCTTCGACACTTTTGATTATAGACGTTAAATGTGATTGAATTGATTCGCTATTCCAGATATTACGTTCCTGAAAATTGAAAATAAGGTAACAATAATTATATGAACAAACTATGCAGCATTAGTCACACAATTATCATTTAGATGTATGTAAATGTAGTGAAGCAGATTATAGTACGTAAACAGGTTTTGATGTAACTATGTTTCTTAGTAATATTCATTAATTTAATAGTTGAATTCATGAGTCAATTAAAGTTAGACCACCATAAAAAACCTGGAAGCATTGCACGACCGTTTTATCCTAGTATGGGACTGCTCAGCAATGCGCATCTATGATCCCGCCCCCCCCCGCGAGATTCAAACCCAGGACCTATCAGTCTCGCGCGCGAACGCTTAATCTTTAGACCAGTGAGCCGACATTTAACGGTGTTAATGTTAATATTCATTATTTATGACATCAACAACATATTAATTTAATTTTTTAGTGACTTTTATCCATACTCAACGACTAAATACGTTCCAATGTATGTCACTGTGAACCACATTTTTGGGGCTAGCGATACTACCTAGGCGTCTGAAGTAAAATTGGTAGAGGATGAAACTGTAACTCAATATTTAGAAGTTGAAACCTTTAACCAGCAAAGTACCAACTTTATATTGACCTAATGATAGTTGAATATTCAAGGTAGTAATAAATTTTAAAAAACCAGGTGTCAGATAAAATTTACTCAGTATGGGATACCCAATAATTAAGTTATTTTCTCATCCAAAAAACATGGAATAATCAAGATACTATAATAATGAACATCCATACAGGACCTGTCAGTACGCTTTACTGATGGACGAATAGAATGGAAACTAATAAACATGAGAATAGAGGTGAGAATATGGTGACACCAACAGTAGCATAACTGTTAAATAATGGAGAAAAAGAAGCTACTGGAAAACTGAAATAGAATACGATGTATATGACTCAAAAGAAAACAATTAGTTTATCTGTGTCAATCTGATTGCTATTGAAATACTTATTGTAACTGAATAGATAGTCTGAAAATCCCTCCAAAGTATTTTGCTTGACAGTACTGTTGTTTCTAGAATCTTTCACCCTGGTTTGTACCTTAAATTCTAACCAGGACTTGTGTAACCATATTTCCGTATTTCCCAATCTTCTTTGATAAAACCTTTATTTAACTTTGGATAAGATTTGCCTCTACTGTTTAATTTTCTAATTGTATGGTACCGAACAACCGATGATAAAATTTTACTAGATTCAAGGTTATGTTGTGAACTAAATGAGCAGTCTTTGTCTTTGACTGTCTGTTGAGTTTATTATTTTATTGAATCCTTGAACATGGAAATCCGACTGCATTAGATAAGGAATATTCCTATTGAAATTGATTGATCACTGGGTGGTGATCAACGTCATGCATGTCTAGTCCTTATTAGTGCAGATCGAATGCTATCGATCATGTTGCAATGTGGCCACCAGTCTAGGTGACTCGACACATGATCGATAGTATTCGATCTGCACTAATAAGGACTAGACAAGCATGACATTGATCACCACACAGTGATCAATCAATTGTGATTACATCTCAGTCCTACAGGAGGTTAGTCACGGCTCGGATAGCTCAGTGGTAACGTCTCTGACTGTGAAGCTGGGTGACACGAGGTCGAATCCATCAGGGAGCACCAGTTCCCTCAAGATTACAAGTACACCTTGCTGACGAGTACCAAGTAGCACGAAACCCGGGTCCAGGGTTTCCTGTTGACTACCTCCAACCACTATCTAATATTCCTATTGATTCTCAGGTACTCAACAGTTGTATTTGACTAACCAATTTTCGCTGTATACTATGTTACCGGAGAAACTTTGACTATATAAAGGGAGAGGTATTGTTGATGTATTTTGTATTTTTTGACAGAACGGTTTAGTATCAGAACGGCATAAATTACGCAAAACGTTTTGTGCATTGAAATGCAAAATGGTGGTTGGAAGTAGTCAACACGAAACTCTGAACCAAGATGTGTTAAACTAAAGTTTAGACGATAATAATATACATTCGTATATTCAACCCCTTAGTATGACGTGGTCACAACACTGTGTTAAATGTTCTTATTAACAGTATTCCATGCTATTGCTGATTCGATTTGTAGATTTTTCAGTTCTACGGGATTATATGGGGATCATTTTGTGTAGTTTAGATGTTACTTTGGACAAGTCATGTTTTCACGAAACGATTCCAAAAAATAGAAAACATCACAAGCGACATATTTTAATCTGTAAACAATTCTGTGTTGAAGTGAAAGGGATTCTTTATTTGATTCGAACTAAAGTATTTCGATGAATGGCAGTCACTTTGCAGGAAAATTTAACTCTGTGTTAAGGATTTTTAGTAGTCCACCATATATTTGAAATTATCAAGTAAAATCTTCGTAGTAATGCTTACAAACCCATTAATAATCAGGTTTAGTTATTCGGTTTGACAAGATACTTCTTTGGTACTCTTCCTGTTGAGCAAAATAAATAGGCCGTAGCTAATGCTTGCTTTCAACACATATTAAAATGTTATATCCTAAATAAATAGTAACTGTTAGAAATTATTTATGGACTATTATTACATACACTCCTATTGGATACCTATTAAATAACTAGATTATATGTATATTCATTTTCCTTTTATTATAAGCTTTCATTTGACTTATTGGACACTGTTATACGACTTATCATTCTTAACTTATTCCCAATTTATCAGTTACAGTATTCCACACTCACAGCCACTTTTGGCTTGAGCTTGTATAATTATTACTTTTTATTTTAAGGTGTGATGCGGTCTGATCTGTTTGTGTATAAACCAAGGATGTCTGAAATATACAATTCATATTTCAGAGGCTGATATTTGTATTTTGGACTGAACCAGCTGGGTCAGGCGAGAAGCTACTATAAAGGGGACCCATTAGAACTCTGAATTGACTCAAGGCTGCTCGTGCTGACTGATGCGCCATTAGTTTAGCACAAGTCGGTGTTCTAATTGGTGACCTAGTTACGTGTGATTTGACGGGCTGAGGGTATAATAGAAAACATATTCCAACATGGTCCAATAAGAGTGAGAGGAATGAGATTAGGAATTTTATCTTTCAACATTTAGTCGACTCTGATTACTCAACAAACCCACACGTTGATTTTAAAATTATTTATAAAATCCATCCAAATCTAGCAAGATTTCTCCATATCCAACCATTAAAAATAGAAGTACTCGATATTTGGTTTGATTTTGAGACACTTGCCTATCAGAAATCAGATTCTAAAGAATAATCAACGTGTTTTGTGGAGAATTTAAGAAATTTCACAGGTTTAAATCATGAGTCAGTTGAAGCTAGACCACCATTGAAAACCTGGAAGCACTGGACGGCCGTTTCGTCCTGGTATGGGACTCCTCAGCAGGGCGTCCAGTGCTTCCAGGTTTTCAATGGTGGTCTAGCTTCAACTGACTCATGATTTAAACCTGTGAAATAATCAACGTATAAATCATTCCAAGATTTTACAAAAGTATATACATGATAGCATAGACACATGTACACGCCATTGCGAATTTCTTCCCGTGAAACTGTGAGAAATTCTAATAACACGAACATTTCCACGCAAATGGAGTAGTGGCTTAATGCTTAGGGAGTTTAACTTCTGGTCACTAAGTCCAGGTTCAAACCCCGCTCTGACTACTTCAGTCTGGGCAACCAGTTAGTATTATAATAAATAGCCCTTAAATTTATTGTGCCTCATACCCAAGTACCTGGTGAATGAATTAATTTGATTACCTAATCAGTTTGTCCACAAGATGAAATCATAAAGACATTAATGAATAAGCTAACTGGTTTTGTTGAAAGTAAAATAGACTCTTTAGACTATTTCGGGTTGGTACATGGCACTGTTACTCGGCATTAACATACGAAAATGTAAGTTGAATAAATGAAAAAAACTGGACAACTTACTTTCGCTAATAGCTGATTTTTAAACTCTAATTGTTCTAAAGCTGTAAGTAGCTTATTTTTGGTATCAGTATGCAACAAAGTTTCATTTTCCAACTGAGATTTCAACATTTTATGTTGATCCATCAATGAATCATAATCTGTTTTGTAATTCTATTGTCAACAAAAGCACATAAATGGAAGATATAATAATAATAATAATAATAATAATAATAATAATAATAAGACTTAAATAAAAAAATTTCTCGGAAAAACAATCTATCCATGGACTAAATCAACTCGTAAAGTAGGCGAAAGCTCCATGAAAAAAATTGCATTTAGTTTATAGAAAGGCTGATGAATTAAATAAATTCCGTATTACCTACTTCATTAAGCAGAACAATAGGAATTAACTGAGAGTCTTGAGAACAGACTAGTAACCATACTTCAGTTTAATTCTGCAAGTATACAGTATATTTTTCCTTTAAAACTACCGTTAGACGAATTACGGAGGTGAGAGATGCGAGTGTTTACGCATTGTGCAAGTAGAAATTTCTAAAGAGTAATTCAAAAAAAACCAAAGTGACTGAACAACGTTTTTTGAGGTTAGTCTATTCTCCATGAACCCGAAAATAAGCAACGGATATTTTTTAAACCCATGATTGATACAAAATGTGGGATTAATATATTATTTCTCGCAAACAAGCTCGAGGATATTTCATAAATTTTGTAAGAAGTAAAAGTAGATTATATATTCGTGTAGATCACTCACACTTCGAATGACATTTATGTTGCGGGGATCATAGAAGTAGGAGAACCTTTTAACGTTATTCGGCTATGGACACATCTAAATGAAACTGAAAATATCGATGGTTCTAGTTGCCGGAAGTTAATGTGTATATTTTTTTCAATAACGTTTATACTCTATGGCATCCTCTTTTAAAGATTAAATTGAGTACAAATTGTGAATAAACCATAAATCAGGCATCTGTTTTTTAAATGTGGAATGGTCTATTATTTTCGGTTAATTTATGAATACGACTGTTTCATTCAAGAACTACACACTATTAAACAGTTTATTGAACTTATTAGTTCGGTAGAAAAATCTTTAAGCTTTCAAATCTTAGTGCCCCACACATAGGTTACAGTTTAAATCTACTTTGAAAACAGCTATTAGTGTAAAAATATAAAAGTCAGTATATATATATATCATCCGTTTAACTTACGTTACATACGTTCAATTGATTTTGTAACTGAGATAGCTGAACATTTAATGACGCAATTTTATTACCCATTTCAGTCTCATTGGCTTTTGAACGCTCAAGTTGTTTAATTGTTTCATCTAGATCAGACGTGGATTTTTTCAACTGAATTTTAGCATTAGTTAATTCAAGTGAAGTTTTATCTAAATTTTGGCGCAATAATTCAACTTCGTTTGAAAAAACTTTTACATAGTCATCCATTTCATTCTGTACACAAGTATGCAAAGTATGAAGGTTAATTAAAGCAACAAGTACCATATTAATTTATAGATAAATTAAGGTATGAATAAAGACCAGAATTTATCTCCAACCAAAGCTGTTTGACTGTCGACAAGAGAGGACGTAAAGTAATTTGAAAGCTAGTTCCCGGTAGCAACAACTTTTACTGTAGACCAATTGTAACCGGAATGTAAAAAAATCACAAGAAAACTAACACGATCGGTTTAAGTCCATTAGGGCACATGCAGTTAGCATACCAAGTGAAATTTCACGTGAAATCGTCAATATAGTATATATGAATCCCCAATATAAACCAAGAATTCATGAATACTCCATTCAAGACTAAGAAGTGAACATACATTGCATCTTTAGTGATATCTCGGTCGCGATCAAAGTAAAAACTGAAATGAGACAACATTACGTTGTTGTACTTCTGTTCCCTTTACATTGTTGATAAAATGATATCACAGCTCATGAACCGATCAGTTTTCCGGTAGCTAGCTATTAAGTATTTGGAATAATTGAGGACAGAAAATTGCATTCAAATAATGATTAAATACATAGCTGCGAAATAGAACTAAGTCTTATATTATTAGAATCTATCAACAAAAAATAGATCCTAAATTTAGGTTTGTTGAGGACCACAAAAGAATCCATCGAATCGCATTCATTAATTGCCTGATTTTTCAAACTATATGTATATATAGTTCATTTTAATGCACGGATATAAAACATATCAGGGTAATGCTTTCAGTAGTGCTTCATTTTTGGACCTTAATGAAATGTTTATTTGACTACCAATATGAAAAAAGAGAACATTTAGGAAAAGATATATCCTGTGTCAGTAAAATTTATAATCACATTATCCAAACGTTCATTGTATCCAAAAAACCCGGAAATAATATGTTTATTACTTTGACCAACCAGTAATTAGCAATCATATGACTCATATAAATACTAAGGCTTAGGCAAATGGGTACTATTATTAGCCCCAATATCCAAGTACCTAGTGAATGAGTAAATTTAAATTAAATTCGTATGCTGTTTTCGGGGATGAAGTCACGTGTTTTGGTAAGAAGGCGTACATATTACGCTTTAAGTTTTATCCTCTAAAACCAATAGAATGCCTTGAAAACTGTAACGATGAAAAAGTGACTCAGAAAGTATCATAAGTGAATTAGATCAAAGTTACAGCTACCAGAAATTATACAAGGAATTTAACGACTGATGTGACTCGAAAATCAAGGAAGTTGGTGGAAAACTACTTAACAATTAAAAAAAAATGGACAAACGCATGCTCACTAAAATTTTAAACAACTGTAGTTATATTTCATCCCAAAGAAGTTTACTACATTAGTTTTTAAAAATGTTCAAACTGTGGATTGTGAAGTACATGATCAGTAAAGAAAACCGGTGCTTTTTGATATGTAAATATGACCAGACCACTAGTTTTCGAATAAACAGAAAATAAATACATTAACAAATATCTTAAGTTCACATACTAAGACAGCTGCTAAGTCATCACATTATTTAACATTGGATGCTACGCAGAATATGTCCTTTCCCACCTTTTCTAATATTTTTCTAAATATCCAGGACTTACTTTTAAAGAATTCGTTAAAAGGTCAATATGACCACTAAACTCTTTATTGAAGATGTTTTTATGAAGATGTTCGATATAATTTGCGAAACGATCATTTAAATGCTGAAGTTCTTCTTTTTCTTCCAGTCGGCTGATCACTAAGGAGTCAAAAGATGAAGATCTTGGAGATTTAATTTCTTCACTTGACTCTGATGACTCGCCTTCAGGTACTGGGCGTTTCGGCAGAGCTTTACGTGTTTTACCTAATCACAAGAGAAAAACAACACAACACTAAAATACAATTCAAGGTTTGACGCATTTAGGGATTTTCATACTTTACTGATATCGGATATTAAAATGAAACCTTAACCGACATTCTTAAAACCTGCAGGTTTTAAGGGTGTTTATGAACACCTGATTTAGATAACATATTACTAAATACATGAACCCTTTGGAAAAAACAGCTGAACACCTTAGCTCAACGAGGGTAATTACGTTTGCTAAGACAAACTAACGTATATGGAGTGTCATAATTCAGTTTTATGGTGACCAGGTAACTACTATTTCCCCTTAGTTTAAAGAATGAATACGGCCTGGTACCGCATAATAATCTTAACATAATAATCGCTTAGGCGTACGATCTATTGACTACCTTACAAGGCCAAAACTTATAGAGGACTCAATAAACATCCTAACCTGTTAGCTTGCTAGCAGGAGATTTGAGTCTCTTCCAATCTTTTTACAACCATTACAAAATAATTATTCTACAAATAACCACGAAGTTAAACGTTCCCCTTTTATCATCTTAGGAATATCAACTTAATGAGGAAACTCACCAGTTTTTGTGTTCGACATATTCCCTACTATTTTAACGACTGGTGGCGCAGAGTTTAAACTGTGGCCAAACGCATTTCTTTCAATATATTTTTAATAAGCTAGTACAAACAAATTGTCATTTCGAGTTTGCGTTTTGATGGTGTGAGACGCCTACAAAACGTTATTGCCACTTAGTTAAACGATTACACGAGATCTTTCTGTGCAGGAAGATTTCTTGATAACCGTTTTTCCTGATGATTTCGGAGCCGTAAAAAGACGTTTCCAGCACTTCCAAAATATTTAACTCGACTTCGTAGTATGCGAACAAGAGTGAAATAACTTGCCGTTCTTTAAAGCGTGAAGAACACGTAAATTAGACATGAGAAACAAATAATTTCACCCTAAGATTATCATTGTCAAGTAAGGATTTGTGTATCTTTGTCCCGCATGATCATGTGCTCATTGTGGCGAAAAGGTCCTTAAAGAAAATCTGACGCTAGTACTCTGAAATTGTTTATTTTGCCAACTTGATATTACAAGTTTCCATTCATTTTTCAGATATTATTTTTAGTGTAGTGTTTCTTCCACTCCATCGACCAGGATATTCTGTAGTGTATTTAGAAGCAAACAACGAAATCAGTCGAAACATTCATATTTGAATCTTACCAATAACACTTTACGTTGCTGTATCTCTATGCTTCGGAATGAAAGTGCCTCAAAATGATCTTTTAATGGTCTGTGATATCCCGAACACACTTGAATTCACATTAAGTGAAGCATACACCCAAAACAACAATATAAATAATAGATAGCCCTAGAAAAGCAATAACGGCCATGTCTATTTTCTTTGAGTTGCTGTCCATACCATTCGTATTTGTAAGTGGGTCGTGAACTTTGGAACATTGCATTTGTGATGTGCCGTGAAGTTTCCATTTTATCTATGGATAATTTAACAATTGTAAATCATGATGTCCTGAGAGAGAAACAAATTTTTAAAACACTAACTTAGTATTGCGAGTACTTCTCAAAAAATTAACAGAAGTCAGCTCGCTATTACTGAAGACATTAACCGATCTATAATTCTGAGAGTCACTCGTTCTTACGCAGCTTACCACTTCAACTGGCTCAAAAGCTACCGTCGCCAGTATATTTCAGATTACATGCCATGCAAGTTCTTTAAAAGACAAACTCCTCTGAGATCAGAACTCTGTCGAGACATTCTAAGCACGAGTCGAAGTATATCACAAAAACAGAATCGCATAGTATCTTATCTGACATGAAGCAGGAGGTTAATGTTTCAGCGGTGAATTCACTATTAGATTATTACCAACCTTGCCAACAACACAATAACTGAACAACTCAGTTTAGTTTAAACACTTAACGTAATTTAAAGATAGACACTTTCTCACCCATTGATCTCGTGTCAATCTACGTTTAGAACTGTTTACTTTTCTAGGGGAAGATACAGAAGTAAACCGAAAATTATCATTAGAAACTCAAAAATCTTGATTAAGACCGATGAAATCAGTGAAGGTACGACTTTCTGCAAGTCTCTCACACTTAAAGATCACCCATCCTGAAATGGAATCATAATAATATTTTCGATGCATCTCATAAACTGTTCTACCCTGACATTTTAGTGTTCAAACAGTCACAAAGCTAGTAACAAAGTGATTTTGTCGGTACGCTATGACCGTGGAGATAATTGTGACTAAATGAACTCCTTAAACTCTTAATTAGGCTTTTTTGTAGACACTAATATGACTGCTATCCACCTAATAAGCTGGATAATCAAAGAAAAATAAGCCGGTAGCGAATTAGCACTCATTGATATGGCACGTGAGAAATGTTCAAAAATACAATACCTCGATAGTTTTTTCAGGTCTACAGGACCAATAAATACTACAGAACTAAAAACGTCAGACTAATAAAGAAACCCTATAAAACCACGTCATAATTGCTTGTCAATAGAAAAAGGCTTTTCTGCCCATCATAAACAACTATCTACCATAAAAAGAGAGGGTAGGTTTGTTCAGGTTTCCTCAAAGATTACCGATAAAATTACAAAATAATAATTGTATAGATGCCAAAGCAAAACAGAAAAATCACTCATTGATATCACTAAGCATGACCAAAGCTAGGAAATGAAATTCTTATTCTTCGCGGATACATAAAATCATTCAAACAAAACAATAAATCAGTCACTCAGTTTAGCAGCGGAGAAAATTTAAGGTCAAGTGAAGCAAAGACTACCATAGTTGGCCGAATTTCGATGCGATTAAGTGGACAGGAGTGGATCGAAATAATAGTAATCTTGGATCAATGCCAAAGTTAGACCTTTTTGAATTTAGATTGACACTGGCAATTAGAATGACTAGCGATAGTATCGGAATAAAATAAAACTGAAAATAGAATATCCGGCGATTTCGTAGTAGTTCAGTAAATCATGAACTTCACTGTATTGAAATGGATTTAAATAGCACAATGACAGTTACTACGTTTTTTAAGACGTATTTGTGTATCGATATGGTAACGGAAGAGGATAAAATAATAGATAGATAGATAGATTGGTTGATTGATTGATTGATAGAATGATTGACCGGATGTTTGGTCGAATGATTGACGGGTAAGTGAACAGATAAACAAATCAAAGAATATCGGAAGGACTCTTATGAAAGGCATCCTACAGGGGTTGGGAAACGTCGCTAAGCTCTGACTAAATCATCCATTAGGCTGAACCGGCTCCACATTAAACGAAAAGTCATGTTGAACCCTTTTATCAAGCATCGTAGAGGTTAAGGATAACTAACACGCATTGACAAATTGCGCGCTATGGACTGAGCAATGTGGTAGTGGTACTCAACCTAAACTTACGAATAATTTTCTTCTAAGTTCAGGATGTTTAATAACGTTTCGTATTTACGTTCACACAGAATGATCTTATGTTTTATCACTCCCGTCAAATCTTAGTCGAAATCACAAATATGTATGCTCCGTAGGGCAACATACTACGAAAAATGTATTGCATGTACACAAACAATCTTAATGTGGTCTTAAATAGATAATTTGTTGTATTACCTTAAGTAATATGTTACCTAGATAATAAAACCTCTACATCAACCTCTACAAAATGGCTACGTTATATTCACCTTCCATACTTTGGTTTTACTGGTTTTTACCACTTTTTTCTAGTGTCTACTATCCCCTATGCATCTGCCGTTACGGCACACGGTTATATATGACTTGACTTCCTCATTGCAAGCATGTCATCTTAATTTCATTTTCAGTTTGTAAACACGCAATACGGGTTGGAAAATATATAAATGGTCTCTAGAGTTCTTCAGGAACTATAAAATAGTCTTCCTATTTATTTGTATTTACGCATCCATTGGTTATAGTAATGGTGCTCAAGCGAATATTCGATACAACTGTCAGCATATATAACAGCGAGTTCATTTTGCTATGACATTATATCATACATACAACTTAATGTAATTACTAAACTTAGATGTCACATTTTGTGTACTTCACAAAATAATGTAAACTTAGCAACACGTAATGAACAATTTTTACTTCATTATACTCAATCAAACCTCCCAATTCATCATAAAATGCTTATTAAGCATAGTTGTTATGTGGTCAAATGCAAAAATGTAGATGGTTTGAAATATCTGAAGCAGCACTAGCTATTTTCGACTAGTCAACTATTCATCAACACCACATAAGCTCATTAATAATGATTTTGCACCACCATTATATATTACTGTTTTGATCTAAAAAAAAACCGAAATTTAATAGGCACAATTCATATGACTACCAAAACGAACTCCGTCTATCAACTAGCATATATAACTATTCACCATATGAAGTATTGTTTCTTCTTGGTTGTTACCTAGCAGATGATTTCGGTACATCAATCGGCTGTTCAACTACTCGACGACTTAAAACCTGTGGTCTAACGACATTATCATTCGCGAGAATCATCGGTTTATAAAGTTCGAGCTAGTCTCCTGCAAACTAAAAACGACATTTTCGCCTCTATCCCAACACTGAAAGCGTTTTTCACTGGTATCATTGACATGAGTCCAGAGTGACACTCTTGGTTTTTTTATGTTATTTTCACTAATCCAGCAAACAAGCAACACTCACTGTTTTATCATCTTTTAGAGACTTTTTCGTGCCTATAGGTAACCCTCGTGCTATTGATAAAAGAAACCAGACAAGTGGCCAATAGGTCTTTATTTCGATCTTAGCGTAGTAACAGTGGAGCGTGGGATTATCTGTTCAGACAAACAAAGGCCTTCAACATTCAATATAAGATAATAGGGGTGATCTTATCCGCAACGCAACCATGTAAACTTAATGTACCGGTCATCTATGCGTTCAAGTAACCACAGATTTTGACATTTCATAATGTATTTTTAATTAAATAACTAGATTATATAGCTAATTTTGATCTTTTTCATATTTTTATTCGCCACGTTTCACTGCGTTACACTGCACGTCCATTGCATGCTGGGATGATATCTCAAGTCATAGTGAGTTTATTCACATAGTTGATTGTTTCCAGATAGACTGTCAGTGCGTGATTTTACTGTAGAAAGGTTTATTGTACTATAAACTATGTTTTTATGAACAACTGCCTGTTGTCTTCAGTCGGAAAGCAATATATATTTTCTTTAAAGACAATTGTCTTCCGTTCGGTAAGTTCAATTGGCCTATATTTCGTGTTTTTGTTTTATCGTCTTAATTATGTCCATTTAACTACTTTAAGCAATATGCCTGTGCAAATGAAATAATAACTATGACACTTGCTTAGTTTAGTATTTTTGGTTGTCGTATAATTCAGTTTAGTTGAAAGAATTATGGTATAGTGCTTGAAGTCTGTAACGAAACAGATCAGTCTAGTAAGTAGAGTTGCCTGTTTCTGATGAGTATACTGATTCAAAACAGTCTGACTAAAAATAGGAAAAAAGTGCTTTCGGTACTGTTGCTGTCATACATTATAAGATAGCGATAAGTATGTTTAGTGTTTATTTCTAGATTGTACATCTATCACTGACCATATTTCATGATCACTGTCATTAAACAATTTCCCCAGC